TCCCCGCTGAGCAGGGAGCCCGATGTGGGACTCGATCCTGGGACTCCAGGATCATGACCTGAGCCGAAGGCAGTCGCTTAACCAACTGAGCCACCGAGGCGCCCTTAAGTGATACTCTTAATGTACTATAATTTGCTGTGACTTTACAGGGCCTCACCACCTGGGTTCTGGGTTTTGTTTTTTTTAGAAAAGTACATGTATTTTCCCACAGATTGTTGGAGTGTTTATTAATTTCTGAGATTAATTTTTTTTTATCATCTTATACATTTTGTATAAGTATCATTTGAAGCACATTCCTATCAATGTTTACCAGTTTCACTTGAGGTTTTTATAAAAGGCCTTCTGTTGTGTAACGTTGTGGTGAAGTGTTGTTGCATGGTGTACTGGAGTCCCAGAGTAAAGGGAGCTGGGAAAGGCAGGCCTGTTTTTTTCCCACGAGGGTACCATATTTCTTTCCATTGTCTATAGAATTTCACTTCATGAATATGGAGGCTGCAAAATACTTTTTTGAAAGTCACACTTGAGTTTTTCTTCTCTCAGCAGACTTATTAAGACATAAGACTTACTAAGACATAACTCAGTGTTCTTGCTCAAGAATCACAATTATTAATCTTTCATTGTACAGAATAAATAGTATAGCTTCTATAGAATTAAAATGTCAGACCGTATTTGAAATTTAACTGCATTTGCATATTAGATTACCTTTTTATTTCTGGGATGAATGTCTATTGTAAATAAATATGTTAAATTTAGAGTTAACAACCATAAAGTCTGTTTCTTTATAATTGCTGTGGTCAAAGAAAACCTTTTCTTTATCAGATATTTCTTCCATTTTTCCTCCCAAAATTTCTGATGTCTGCATTTAATTCTTCTTTATAGTTGGAAGTTCATGAGGCTAAACCTGTACCAGAAAATCACCCGCAGTGGGATACAGCAATAGAAGGGGATGAAGACCAGGAGGACAGCGAGGGCTTTGAAGATAGCTTTGAGGAGGAGGAAGAAGAGGAGGAAGATGATGACTAAGCAATACTATGAATGGACCACAGTATTTGCAACTTTTTGCTGTTTTGGAAGTGTATAATAAACCAGAAACAGTGCAGAACTGATGTTGAGGGAGGTGTTTAGTTCTTTACTAGAAATGGGTGCATAATATAACTAGGCAGTGGTGATGCCTTGGTACAGTCTGAAAAATGCTTAAGGCTTGTTAAAGCCTTTCAAGTATGGGATGGTGCATTTATTTCATTGGCAAATGATAATAAACCCTTTGTTATAACTGTCCAGAAGTGTGGGCTATGTATTATCTGATCAATTTATGGTCCCAGTAAAAGTAAAGGTACATGAAAACCAATCTATAAGTGAGCAGTTTTTCTTTGTTTAGGTTTAGTTTTCAGCAAACATGAAAGTATGATAAACACCACACATGTTTTTAGTAACATCTGCTCAAGTTTTAAGCTTTTGATAAGCTGTCATTCATTTATTGACATTTTGCAGTGATACAAGACTGTTTATAACAGCTCCATTCATAGCTTTAAACTTTTTATTTTTACCTGTCTTGGTCATAAGTTGGCATTCTGTCCCATTCCACATAATATAGAGGGCTACATTTGGGGATTTTACTTTTCTTAATTGCCCAGAGTTATCAGACAGATTATAAAAAATGGCTTTTAATGGCTTAAAACATTTTTAAGCCTCTATTTTAGCAGATCAGTGCAGGATCTAATTCTTTTTATAAGCTATAGGTCTAAAAATGATTGTGGGACCATATGTTCTCTGATGTTGGTGACTCATGTTATTAAACCTTTTTTAAAAGGTTCATAAGCTGAAATACATTCTTAGCTTTTAATCCACCTGACTCAGAAGCCTTTTAAGGAAAAAAAAAACACATAACTTGCAAAGGAGGCATTTTTTTGTATTCATTTTGGACTCCTGTCAATAAAATAGAAGTTTGACTCATTTTATGTTTGTAATGGTGTGTGTCTTTTTACTTCCAGAGAAAGGATATAATAGGATAATTCACTCTTTCAACTAAAAATTTAATAATGTACATTACTGCGGAAGTGATCGCTATTTCTGTATGGTATAGAAAAGCCCATGTGTGGGAGGAATTTCCCCCTCACACATTGCAACCCAGAAGGATAGTGCTTATAAAGAGTAGAAATGTATACATGATGAATCATTGAGGTAAAATGAATATTTTTATTACTAGATACTGAGGAAGCATATGTCTGTAATATTATAAGACTGTAATAGTCCTCGCCTATCAAAATCTCCGTAGGCCAAAGTACTGTTGGAATACTAATTTGTGACCTTATTGATTTAAAAGGTTGCCACATTCCATGCAGAATTGGTATTTTGTTACTGCGGTAGTTGGAAATAAAATTTGAAAATTACCAAAAACATGAATGGTTTTTCTGGTTCTAAATTTAGGATATAATTTCTACAATATACTCAAAGCAGTTTCTTCATTGGAATTTCCATCACCTGTTTTTTTGTTAGTTTGTTTCAGAGGTGTTAGTGAGACCCTTCCTTGGCAGTCAGTAGCCCCCCTGAGGATTTGTTTCATTTTACAAGTAGAAGGTGGGTTCAATTTTTGAGTCAGGTTTTTCTGGGAAGCTCCAGTGTCAGGTGAGACAGCAGCTGGTCACCTAAGTGCAATAGACAGGAGTGAGGCCAGCCGGTAGCAACAAGCAAAAGGGGGTTTGAGGAAACGTGTGACCAAACCAAACTGTGTAATGTGCACATCTCCTGGTTTTCTTGAAGGATAATATTCAAGAAAAGTATTTCTCTTCTAGTGGCTATTTTGTCTGAGGTTTTATTCTTTCAAACAACTGGCTTTCTGTGTTTGAGACTTTAGAGAGGATAATTTCACAATCCAGTAACTCACCACAGTGCTTAAAAAAAACAGGATCACCTTGACCTTAGAAAATCCCACCAGGCTGTTTTCCTTTGCCCTTTGTGTGATACATACATACTTCCCAACCATGCAAGTACATTACCCTCTAATTAGTACTTCAGGTAAAAAAACCTTCCATATTGCAATAGTGAAAGAACTGAGCCTTCAGTTTATAGTTCCTGTCTCTCCAGCCAATCTCAGAACTCCATATCCCTTCTTCTCTTGATCAAGATTTGATAACAAACCCTGGTTTGCATTTAATCTAATGGAAACTCTTAATGTAGTTTCAGTTTTGTTTTCCTGAAGAAACCGACATTTTATCAACAGAATAAATGAACATATAGATGAAAACATTCAGTGTGTGTACATAAAGTGAAACTGGTTATTTATGAAATTAAGTTACTTAAATTGTGTAATATTTTAATCTCTTTAAATTGGTGAAGTACCTATTAAAAGGTAACTCTTCCATGAGGAAACCACAATTGAAAGTCTAGCAGTTGTTTGTCATGTGTGTATCTCAATCTCAAAAGTCAGATGTTTGTGTCCTTTCTAAAAATTAAGTTTTCATGAATATTTTTTAAAACTAAGCACTTTGAACAAGGTTCTCTGTAGAGAACAATACTCTTCTAGTTCTCCCAGCTTGTACTGAGGGGTGGAGAAGGACGAGACTGTCCACTGTACTCCACTGCATGGCGGGAAGCTCAGACCTCGGGCGCAAGCAATAGGAGTAGGAGGATGCCAAAGGACTGATGCGGAAGAGGGTGGGGGAGGACGTTGAGCAATGTAATGAAGCTCTCTTGAGTGCATCATTGACCATGACGTTTATCTAGTTATTTGCTTCAACAAATCAAAACCAGATGCAGGAGTGTTCTTTAGCAACAATTACTTCAAATGTGATTCAGCACTCTATATATTTTTTGAGTGGTTGCTCATCATTCATCATATATTCACTGAGTTGCTATGATTGGATCCTGGAGTTATAGAAATAAAATAATTCATGTTCTTAAGGACTCACTGGTATTATGACAGGAAGATGTGTGGCAATCCATTCTAATCCATTTGCATTAGCTAATGGCCATTGTTTGGAATGCTTTTTTTTTTAAGTCTTTTCCACTGTAGGCAGAGGAATTTTTTTTTTTTTAGATGCTAGGTATTGGCTCTTTATTTTTTTTAATAAGCGAATCCTCATCCTTTATTTTGAAGTATTTCTTTAAAGCACTTTTCTCCCCAAATATTCTTACTCAACTCCATGAAATCCCCTATTTAGTTTGCCTTAAAATGGAACAGCCATCAGTGAACCATGAAGTAACATATCACTAGCTGTGTTGTGATTAGTCCAAATATGTCTTAAGTTAGCATCAAACATCTTCACACATTTAAACTAGATACTAGGGCTATTTTGCAAAACTTTGAAAAGCTGTGATCTTGTACATTTTTCTGTAACCTGAGCTAAAAATCCAAATATAGCGATCATTGGCATGCTTTAGGACTGTGGTTTCAGGTGGGGGTGTGTTACATCCCTGGGGTATGCAGATAAATCAGTCGGTTGGGAAAATGTTAAAATGGTTATTTGTATTTACTCTCATCCTTTTAAATTTCTATTTTTGTGTGTTTTATAATGTACATAATATATTGTACAATTGTACACTTCTATAATTCGTAAATAAATACATTTATTGGTTCATTATTTTTTTCTGATTTCAGTGCATGATCGAAACATTTGGATACGTTGCTTTTACGTATAGATAGGGTGGCATTTAAACTGAAATGATTTGGACCTTTGGCACTCAATATTTGAATTCACAGTGTGATGTTACTCTGCTGGGAGTTGGCATTCACTCTGTCTAGCCGTACTGTAGTCCCCAGGAGCAAAGTGACACTTTCTAAGATGAGAACTGAGTAGGTTTCGTGATGGGGTTAATAGATGAGGGTAGAGTTCTAAGCAGATGTCATCCCTGGAGTGGAAGTGGGGCAGGTAGAGGCCAAAGAGCTAGGGGCTAACTGCTGGGATGTCCAGCAAAGGCTACAGCTGTTAGAGGTCCCTGTAATCTGGCTGCTACAAATCAAAGGTGAGTATGGGAAGGATTGTCCACTCTCTTTTCAGCACTAGGTGGTTCAGCATTAACCTGTCAGGCTGCATATGCAAAGGGAGCTGTGTTCCTTTATCTTTCTGAACACCTGAGGTTTACCCTTTAAAATCTGGAAAATGGTAGCAATAGATAAAAGAGATGGGAACAGTTTCCATAAAGAGCAACTTCAAACTATTTCCCTGTAGTTTCCAGCCTGGTTCCGGTAGAGGGCGATAGGGCTATAATTTTTATTAGCAAAGAATGGTTGAGCTTGTGGGACTAAACCAAAACTAAAGACATGCTTTGTAATTTATTTCTGTTTCCACCTTCTGGGATTACCTTCTTCCCCTTTTTTTTTAGCCCTATCTAACCTTTGTCTTTCTTAACATGTATCCTTTAATACATTATATTTACTTCTTGGTTTTCTAGCTGGAAATACTAGGTCTCTTTGCAACAAATTCCAGAAGACAATCCATATTTATTCATTGTGCTGGAATTGTATTAGATCGTTTGCGTGAGAGAGGTGGGAAATTAGGTAGGAATAAAAGATCCTTTTATTCTATAAAATTTAAATTTTGGGGTTGGTTGGTATCAAGAACTATATATGAAGGGTCTGAGACACTGCAGGCTAACAAGTTAACCCGCGATAGTGTCATGGATGTTAGCAAAAGACAGGAGAGTCCTGGGTCAGAAGCACTGCAGGCTGTGTGAGCTTCATGTTCCCCATCTGCTCCTCTGATCCCCCAAGTTCCATGGGGGCTCCGCAGAGCAGATGTTGCACAAGGAAAATACTTGAGTCACAGCTGATGAATTTCTAGTTCAGGAAGCCTCGTCTTTTAAAGGGTATACAAGCAAAGCTGTCCAAGAGGGAGATATTCTCACTTCCAAGCTAGTTTCCTACATAAATATCAAAAGTCTGGAACAAAAGCTCTGTGCCTCTGCTCACAAGGTGTGCAGAAACATGAGATCCCCATGGAAAATTGTCTCTCAAAAGTTGGAATTCAAAATACATAGTACCTCTACTTACAGGGAGTCTTTGGACCTTTGGTTAAAATTGAGGAACCTCTGAAATATTCTCAACAGTCGTGCTGGCACCTATGATCATCCTTTGAGGGAAGATTTATTTTTGGTTTTGACTGTGAAAAGTTGCCCAGAGATTATGCAGATGAATGGGGAGGGTAATCAAATTTGCTGATAGACATTTTGATCAAGAATTAGGCATGTGACTAAAATTCAATGAGAGACTTTAAAAATCTTGATCATTAAACTGCATTTGAGACATCCAATAATATTAACAGGATAACTATAGCCTTCCTCATGTATATGCATTAGTCTGCATCTATAGCTTTGTAAAATTAGTCTACTTACTTTATAATCACATCCGAAGTTTCTCCAGCTTTTTCAAAAAATTCCAGTGTAATTAACATACAGTGTTACATTAGTTTCTCTCCAGCTTTTTAATTTCTTGATTCTCTGCCACATTCTTAGGATGTCAGTCACTGGCTGTGCCACATGTCAATTTCCAAGTTTCTCCAAAAGCCTACAGTTCCTCTTCTTGATGTGACAACATACACAGAGAGAAGGGGGAGCACCAGGAGGGGCGCCCCAGCTGAACGGAGGCAAAGCACCCCTTCCAAGTGTCTTGGACTTGCAGCTCGCTCCACAAGCCACTCCTGGTTCAGAACTCTGCAGTTATTCTTTTTCCCACCATCCCAAGGGGCTCTTGCCGCACTACCCACCCCTTACTCACGGAACACTGATGGGGGCCTATTATCATGGAAATCATAAGGATTAATGTGATTTTCAGCAAAGTGCTTTTGAGAATTGGAGATGAAGCTATAGTGTTGTGATTCACAGCATTATTTCTTTATACACTGAAAGCCCCCACATCTTTCAAGTCTGCTGACTTAATGACAGGATATCTCAGTAAATGTCAGGAGTGACACGTCAGGAGCAGCACATTTCAGACGGGAGTTCGGGTTCGGTAATACTAAAACGGAGTTTTGAGTAGAATTTTGAATGTGTGTTAAAAAGAAAAATCTTTAGGGCGCCTGGGTGGCTCAGTTGGTTAAGCGACTGCCTTCGGCTCAGGTCATGATCCTGGAGTCCCGGGATCGAGTCCCATATCGGGCTCCTTGCTCAGCGAGGAGTCTGCTTCTCCCTCTGACCCTCCCCACCTCATGCTTTCTCTCTCTCTCAA